AAAAAAAAAAAAAAGAAATGCAGCGGGGCGTAAACAGGTAGAAAGAGAGGACTTAGATGTCAGGCCGAGTGCAGATAATTGGGGGACAGTGAGGCAGGAGAATGAGATGGAAGGAAGTGAGAGAGTGAGGAAGACAGGAAGCAGGGCCATCATGCTGGGGGCAGGGAGGGAACAGAGTGGCCAGGCAGGGAGTGGGGCAGGAGTAGAGCAGAAGAAGGGGTGCTGTTCACATAGCGAGGAGGGCGGGACCACAAGCAGGTAAGGCAGGAAGGGAAGGAGAAATGTGGGGTGTGCAAGCCGGCAGGGTAGGAAAAGAACAGTCAGGGAGAGATGAGTTAAGCAAAGAGGGAGCTCAGGGAGTAAAGGGGGAAGGTTGAGGGGCCAGCCTGGGAAGAGGGGAAGCACAGGGCTCAGCCAGAAGGCAGGGAGGGGGAAGGGAAGCAGAGGTGATCAGGCAGTGAGGAAGGAGGGATGGTCGGCAGGCTGGTGGAAGACAAGGACAGGGATGGGGAGGAAAGTAGAAATGAAATAGTCTGAGAAGAAGGCACTGGGGGCCCATCAGGCAGGAATGGAGGGTGAGGAGGTGAGCAAGGAAGACTCTTACCTTGGGGTCCCGAGTGTGCTCGGGGCACAGCACCTGGAGCCGCTTACAGTACCTCTTACTCTCTGGGTTGTAGACATCACAAAAGAGTCGTGTGGTCCTGGGGAAGAGGTGGAAAGGGGGGAGTGCTGAGGGTGAGGGGGGAGTCCCATTCCAAACCCTGCCCACATGTTGTCCCCTGAGCCGGCATACCCTGCTTCTAACCACACCCACCTCTGCCTGTGAGTCTACGCACATCCTGCCCTTGACCTTGCTCGCCCTTGCTCATCACCTTGTCCACCTCATGCCTTTGACTGCATCTAGCACCCGCACTCACCCTTCAATGCAAGTAGGGTACAAGGATCCAAACGATACCTGGCACTCATACTGGGAAGAAGGCATAAAGAAGAGGAACTGTGAGTGGACAACATGTGTTCTCCCATGATGAGGCCCACACGACCCATCTGTGCTTCCTGGCCCCTGTGCTCCTGTCTGCCCAGCAGAGGTCCCTCCTACCAGTGACGAATGCCCCACCTTGGGTCTCATGCTGGGGATGGGATGAAAGAACACAACAAATACTGACGGCAAACCTGCCCCCTCTGAATCCTGCCCACCCTCCACCGCACCCAACCCTGAACACTCTTGCGCCAACCTTGGCAAAGCAGCGCTCCATGTGGCGCAGGGCCAAGTGCATTTTGATGGATCGCCCGCAGGAGACACAGAAGATTTGCAGGTCTGCCTGGTCCTTCTCAGTTTTGTCTCTCTGCTTGGGAGAGAGCCGGTGAAGCAGAGCAGGGTGAGTTGACAGGCAGGGCAAGATACTGGCACCCTCATGCTCCACCCTACCCACGCCCTCTCACCTCCTCGTCCACACACACAGTCTGCTGCTTGCCACGCAGGATGATGGCCTCAAGTTCATATAAATGGTGTTCCATGTGCTTCAGGTGGCTATGGGTGACCTGCTTCTCGTGATCGATTTGCTCCAACATTTTTTGGTTGATCTCCTGAGCGACGCAGGGGCTGTTCTGCCACTGCTGGATGCGCTGGGGCAAGATCTCATAGATGCGTCTGGAAGAGGGAGACAGCAAGAAGTGGAATGCGTGGATGGGGGCAATGAGGAAAGAAGAAATAGATAAGTGATTGAAGGGTGAATGGGCAATTGAACAGTGGATGGATGATGAGTGATTTTACAGGCGGATAAATGGATTGGTGGGTGGAACGTGGAAGGTGGCTCCGTGGGTGGGTGGCTACAAAGGTGGGCTGGTGGATGCACTTACAGATGGCATAGATCACACCCTACTTCACCACTCATCCCTGCACCTCCAAGCGCACTCACTCAGCTGCAAGCTTCATGCCGCAATCATCCGAGCAGTACTTCGAGCCTGGACGGGCAGCATACACACAGCGAGGCCCCAAGCACTGCTGCAGTGGAGTTGAGGCCGCAGGATCTGTGTGCTCTTTGTGTTTCTTCTTGTGTGTGTGCTTCTGCTTCTGCATATTCTTCTGCGGGGGGCATAAAAGGCAAGATCAGGAGAATCGATGTCAACCCCTAACCCCTGTACCCCTGCCCTGCATCCCACCTCTGACCACCCCCTTCCACGCCTCTGCACCACCATGTCTGTCACCTTCTCTTTCTCCATTATCTTCGAAGTCTTCACGTGCCGCAAATTCACTGGCTGCTTCCGTGGCTCAAATATGGGGTCCGGAAACGGGAGCTCCTTGGTTCATTCACCCAGGGCTGCAGATCAGGAAAAGGCTGATGGGCTGCCTGCAACTGCTTTGTCAAAACAATGGTCTTTGGCCACTCCCTGCCTCATTGCTGAATCTCGGCCTTCCTTGTCCCCCATCCTCCCATCCTGGGGCTTGCCACGCACGTAGCAAGCTTTGATTGCCCAAAGGCCCCTCTGTTCAAGAGTCGTGAAGTAGGCAGAAGTCCTATAGCAGCTTGGGTGTTGCTGTTGTCTCAGGTGCCTCCTTTAAATTTCTTTTTTAAAAAAAAATTTTTTAACAGATAGAGATAGAGAGAGAGACAGAGAGAAAGGTCTTCCTTCTGTTGGCCCCCCCCCCCCCAAATATCTGCCACAGCCGGAGCTACACTGATCCGATGGCAGGAGCCAGGTGCTTCTCCTGGTCTCCCATGGGGTGCAGGGCCCAAGCACTTGGGCCATCCTCCACTGCACTCCTGGGCCACAGCAGAGAGCTGGCCTGGAAGAGGGGCAGCCGGGGCTAGAATCGGCACCCCGGGGATGTGGGCACCGCAGGCGGAGGATTAGCAAAGTGAGCCACAGCGCCAGTCCCATCCTCCTTTAAATTTCTACTGGCACCACTGCCATCTGGTACTTTTGAGCCAACCTGGACTCCTGTGGTTAAGGCAGCTGTGAAGTGGGCAGTGGCCAGCGAGGCCAGACAGAAGTTTCCTGAGGCATTATGGGAAAGAGCTGAGTCAAGCCTTCAGCAACAGCTCTGTTCCCAATCTCCAGAACTCCAGGGACCAGGGGATTATATGTGGGGCTCTTGTGCTGCGGGGAGGAGGGCTCTGGAGGTGGCCTAACTAGTTAGGGACAAGGCCACTCTACTCCAACACTCTTCATCATACCCTGCCAGAATATACTAACCCTTGCATGCCTGGGAATGACTGTAACTACCTGGCTCTGCAGGCCCACCTTACCCACCTAACCATATACGGCCCCACCCTACTGACCTGCATGCTTAAGACCCAGCCTGGGCCGGCGCCGCGGCTCACTAGGCTAATCCTCCGCCTTGGCGCCGGCATACCGGGTTCTAGTCCCGGTCGGGGCACCGGATTCTGTCCCGGTTGCCCCTCTTCCAGGCCAGCTCTCTGCTGTGGCCAGGGAGTGCAGTGGAGGATGGGCAAGTGCTTGGGCCCTGCACCCGCATGGGAGACCAGGAGAAGCACCTGGTTCCTGCCTTCGGATCGGCGCAGCGCGCTGGCCGCAACGCGCTGACCGTAGCGGCCACTTGAGGGGTGAACCAACGGAAGGAAGACCTTTCTCTCTCTCTCTCTCTCTCTCACTGTCTAAAAAGAAAAAAAAAAAAGACTAGCTCGAGTGGCAAGGAGGCAGGTGGGCCGAGCGTGTTTGAGGGGCAGGGCCAAATGTGTTTGTTCAGGCGTTTAAACAGGGTAGTGGGTTTGTCTTTGATGCAGGGGTGGGGCAAGCAGAGCGGAACTAGTCTGAAGGGGTGGAGCCTAGCTTTTTGGGCACAGGCTGTTTTTTTGT